AACAACAGATACATAGACCAATGGAACAGAATTGAGAATCCAGACATAAATTCATCCACCTATGAGCAGCTGATATTTGACAAAGGCCCAAAGTCTGTTAATCGGGGAAAAGACAGTCTCTTTAACAAACAGTGCTGGCGTAACTGGATATCCATCTGCAAAAAACTGAAACAGGACCCATACCTCACATCATGCACAAAAACTAACTCAAAATGGATCAAAGACTTAAAAAAATATAAAATCAAAAATGATAAAGATCATGGAATAAAAAATAGGGACAATGCTAGGAGCCCTAATACATGGCATAAACACAATACGAACCATAACTAACAACGCACAAGCACCAGAAGAGAGACTAGATAAATGGGAGCTCCTAAAAATCAAACACTTACGCTCATCAAAAGACTTCACCAAAAGAGTAAAAAGACAACCTACAGACTGGGGAAAAATGTTTGGCTACGACAAATCCGATCAGCATCTAATCTCTAAAATCTATAAGCTACTGCAAAACTTCAACAACAAAAAAGACATATAACCCAATTAAAAAATGGGCAAAGGATATGAACAGGCACTTCAGGTGGCTAACAGACACATGAAAAAATGTTCACCATCATTAGACATTAGAAAATGCAGATCAAAACTACCATGAGAGATATTCTCACCCCAACAAGGCTAGCATTAATCCAAAAAACACAAAATAAAAAATGCTGGAGAGGTTGTGGAGAGACCAGAACACTTATACACTGTTGGTGGGAATGTAAAATGGTACTTAACAACTCTGGAAATTGATTTGGTGCTTCTTCCTTAAAAAGCTAGAAATAGAAGTACCATATGATCCAGCTATCCCGCTCCTTAGAATATATCCTAGAGAAACAAGAGCTGTCACACGAATAGATATATGCACACCCATGTTCACTGCAGCACTGTTCACAACAGCAGAAAGCTGGAAACAACCTAGGTGTCCATCAACGGATGAATGATAAACAAATTATGGTATATCCACACAATGGAATACTACGCAACGATAAAGAACAACAATGAAGGTGTAAAACATCTTATAACATGGAGGAAGCTGGAGGGCATTATGCTGAATGAATTTAGTCAGTCACAGAATGACAAATATTATATAAGACCACTATTATAAGAACTCAAGAAAAGGTTTAAACACAAGAAGAAAACATTCTTTGATGATTACGAGGGTGGGGAGGGAGGGTGAGGGTTATTTACCAACCAGACAGTAAATACGAATTATTTTAGGTAAAGGGAAGGACAGCACATACTACAGGGGAAGTCAGCATAACTGGACTAAACAAAAGCTAAGAAGTTTCCTGAATACAATCAAATACTTTGAGGGACAGAGTTGCAAGGGTACGGGTCTGGGGACATGCTTTCAGGGGACATCTAGGTCAACTGGCATAACAAAGCTTGTTAAGAAAATGTTCTGCATCCTACTTTGGTGAGTGGCATCTGGGGTCTTAAAAGCTTGCAAGCAGCCATCTAAGATGCATCAGTTGGTCCCAACCACCTGGAGTAAAGGAGAACGAAGAACACCAAAGACTCAAGGAAAGTAGTAGCCCAAGAGACATAAAGGACCACATAAACCAGAGACTTCATCATCCTGAGACTGGAAGAACTAGATGGTATCTGACTACCACCAATGACTGCCCTGAGAGGTAACACAACAGAGACTCCCAGATGGAGCAGGAGAAAGGTGGGGTGCAGAACTCAAATTCTAGTAAGAAGACCAGCCTTAATGGTCTGACTGAGACTGGAGGAACCACGGAAGGCATGGCCCCTGGATTCTCTATCAGCCCAGAATTAAAACAATTTCCGAGGCCAACTCTTCAGACAGGGATTGGACTGGACTGTGGGGCATAAACTGATACTCATGAGGAGAGTGCCTCTTAGCTCAAGTAGATACAAGAGACTAAACGGGCAGCTTTTGTCCATAGGTGAGATGGGAAGGCAGAGGGGTTAGGAGCTGGTTGAATGGACATGGGGAATCAGGGGTGGAAAGGAGGAGTGTGCTGTCATAGTATAGGGAGAGCAATTAGAGTCACATAACAATGTATGTATAAATTATTGCATGGGAGAGACTAAAAAAAAAAAAAAGAAATAGTGGATATTATTATTTTCATAAAGTCCAAACCCAAGGTCTTCCATGATCTGGTCCCTGCACATCTCTCCAGTTTCATCTCCCACCATTCCCCATTTATACCAACAAACCATACTGTTTCATAATGTTAGACCTCGGCACACGCTCTTCCCTCTGCCTGGAATGCCTCTCCCCTATTTTCTCCCATTGCATCCTTACTTACCGTAAGTGCCCTAGTCAAGCACCTCCAGTATGTATGCTTTCCTTTCCCAAATGACCGTTTTCTGCTTTGTGAAATCACTGTACCTAATACATAGCTCTCCCTCTACATCATTGTATCATCTCTACTTCACTATAAGCACTTTGAGGGCAGGGACGGTGTATTTATGATTATATCCCTAGTGTCTAGCATAGTTACTGGCACAAAAAAGATTTCAGAGGTTTTGAGTAATGATAAGGATAGGGTATGGCCACGTAAGTGGAGAGCTAAAGCTGAGAGGAAGTGAAGGTTGGTAGAGTAGTTCAAGGACCATGAAGCTGGGGGGTGGGGCGGGGAAGGGGGATTTGGAGAGTTCATTGATGAATTTTAAGTTGTTCAAGATGCTGGAAAAAATTTGTGTGTATGGAGGAAGATTATGAACCAGGGGCTAAAGCACTCAATAAATTTAGTGGAGTGCCCTGGAAGCTGGGCAATGATGGAGTGAAAGGTAAGAACGGGGTTAGCTTTCAAGGAAAAAGAGCTATAGAAAGGAGGCAGTGAACCAAAGCTCTGGAAGGGGCAGGAGGAGCCAGGGGCAGGCTGTCTCTTGCCTGGAGGTATGGGGCCGATGAAGGGGATAGGAGAGAGTTTCTCCAGTCTTCTATTGGCTCAGACAGAAAAGGCTGGCCACTTGGCTGAAAACAGATCTGGGCTAGCTTCCCACGGCCTAGAAAGGTCCAACACCTTTCTTGCCACACTTGGGAGCCTGAGTGTGACCCTGATAGGTGAAGCAGCAAATTTGGGTTTTTCCTGAGGCTACAGTTCAGCCTCAGAAAGGTCTAGTGTAGCAAAATGAAGATTCCTGATGATGGGACCAAGACAGACAGTGAGACATGTTTGGGTCTGTTCATAATGCCCATAGCAAGAGGTTGCCTTCTGCTCTCCTAGTAGAAAGGGGATCTCTGACTGAGGCTTTAGAGACCTTGAGGATTCAAATATGGCTCCTGTTCTGAATACCACTCCAGCTTTGTTCTTGCTACATCTCCTTTGCACCCTATATTCTAGATTTTCTAAATGATTTGCAATATCCAACACACCACACTGTTTTTGCTTATAGGTGCCTGTACACTGCTCCCCTTTGCTTGAAAGGTTCTCTGCTTTGAACATTTGGGAAACAGCCAAATCTTCTGAGATTTAGCCCTATTTCCTGCAAAGATGGTGTTCCTGATCCCTGTTGCATGAACTGACCAATTTCTCCTTTATGTTTTCAATTAACCCGCACAGTCTTTTACCATTGTACCCCTGATACTATACTACACTTATTTCTTTACTGGATATTAGACTGTGAGCAACTGGACATCAAGCAGCAAGTCATTAATCTTTATACCCCTAGCCTAGCAGTGTCTGGAATACAGTAGGCATTAATTAAATGTTTGCTGAATGTGTGTTTTGAGGGTTACGTGGGAATGTGGATGGAGGAAATGGAGTATGCATAGAGGAGCCGAAACCAAAAACTCATTGCCGTTGAGTCCATTCCAACTCACAGCGACCCTATATGGCAGAATAGAACTGCTCCACAGGGTTTCCAAGGAGAGGCTGGTGGATTCAAACTGCCAACCTTTTGGTTAGCAGCTGAGCTCTTAACCACTGTGCCACCAGGGCTCCATGAATGAGGAGAGCCTCCAATCTCCTTGTCAAAGAGAACATAACAGAAAGATCTGTACATTACAGTGAAGCTGCTTGAGGATCCAGAGCATCCTCAGGTCTATTTCTCTTTAACTTTCTCCAGTAGGAAGAGAAACTAAGGTCTAGGACTTTCACAATGTTTTCTGTTCTAGTACTAGATTGGGAAGAGGCAGCCTTATTTCAGAGGAAAAGGATAGGAAAGAGCAACAGAAGGTGACACTGCAGGA